TAAAAAAAATAAAAATAAAAATAAAAATAAAAATAGAACATTCTTTGGAGGGAAGAAAATGTCTGTGTAATAGTAATACGTTTTCGTTGTACTGACTTAGGCCATCTAGAAAAGTACACATTTAATTTTTAAAAATTATATAAAATTCCATTACCCAAAGGTAGTTACTATTTAATATTTTGGTGTACTTTTTTCTTTTTCTTAATTTGTTTTAATTTTTAGAAATTAAAACATATACAAGAGTACAGAGAAGAAAATAGCAATTCTGTGTATTTCTATCACCCAGAATTAACTACTGTTTGTATATTAGCATTTTTATTTTCACTTTTTTAAAGAGATTTTTTTGTTTATTTGAGAGAAAGAGAGAGAGCAGGAGTGGGGAGCGGGGCAGAGGGAGAGGGAAAAGCAGACTCCGTGCTGAGCAGGGAGCCTAACTTGGGATTTGATCCCAGGACCCTGAGATCATGACCTGAGCCGAAGGCAGACACTTAACCGACTGAGCCAGCCAGGTGCCCCTATTTTTACTTTTTAATGAAAATTCACTGTTAAAATTATTGTGAAAAAGATACATGTCCATAATAAATACATTTAAACAGTGTAGAAAAATAAAATTAGAAAATCATGCCACCACCACATTAAATATCAATATTTAATGATAATCATTAATATTAGGTGAACATCAGATCAGACCTCTTTTCTATGTTTATATACAGATAAATAAATACCTTAATAACAATGGGATATTATAGACCTATTTTGCCTAGTGGTATAGCATTCATTCTGTGTATATACATGTATTTTTTTTGTATTCATTCTATATTTAAATGGAAGATTGCTCACTATTTAATCCTTTTATCATGCCATTTGCATCGATGAGTTCTTTATTTTGGTTCAGTTCTTACTCAATGAGATTTTGTTCTAAGTTTTTTTGGGAAGGGCTCAGAAATGTTATATTCTCTGGGTTCTTTCATGTTTGAGGATGTCTGCCTTTTGCCTTTTAACCAGAATATATTTTGGATGAATATAATATTTTGAGGTAATAACATATTCTTGAGAATGTTGTAGACTTTGTTTCATTGTCTTCTGGCATTGAATGTTGCTGTAGAGAAATCTAAGGCCACCTGATGTCCTCTGCCTAAAGAATCCCATCCTTAACCTTGATGCTCAATAGCTTTTTTAGAATATCAATTGATAGTGAGCGTTTTATATCTTTCAACCTGTGGATTTTATTTTTTCCAAATTAGGAAAATTTTCTTGTATCTCTGAAAACATTTCCTGTTCCATTCGTTAGGTTCTCTTCTTTAGGACAACAAATACGGATATGTTGAATCATCTTTATCTTCCATATCTATTAGCTTTTCTGTGCCATACTTTCTTCCCTTTCCTTTGATATTTACTTGTGATTATCTTAAGCTAGTAATTCAATTTTCATTTGTGTCTGTTCTGTCCCTTGCCATTTTTAATTTATTAGGTCTGCACTGATACTGTGTGAGTATTCAGTTTATTTCTTAGGGCTGTGATCTTCCTTTTCATCTTTCTGTTGTTTATAATCTGATTGACTTCTTATTTTGTTGAATTTATGAGCTTATGTTGTTCTATACTGTGAATCAGTTGTGAAGAACTTCTCTTTGTTCCTTGGTTTATATTCTCTCCTAGGTTGAGGGGGGTTTTTTTGTTTTTGTCTTTTAAACAGTATTTTGTTTGTTTGTTTCTTGTCATTCTTTTGTTTGTTTTTCTGCATTTTTGCATATTGCCAGTCAGCTTCTTTCCATTTTACACTAATGTGTTATGGTTTTCAGATCTTTTCATTTGCTCTTTTCATAATTGCTCTGACATGGTTTGGGTGATTTCTTTTGTACTCTCCCACCATATCTGAGATTATTTTATTTTTTTTTCCCTCAGAACTATAATTGAAGGGCTGGGTCTTTAATATTCTAGCTGCATGGGTATCAGAAAAGGAGGAAGAGAAATGGGTAGAGAAAGGAGGTAGCTCCGTGAAGCTGTTGCAGTGTTTTGGGCTCCGTCTCCTGAGATTTTGTTAAGTATCCTGAATTAAGGGTCATGTCTCACCTGGGAAGGGAGCTGTAGTCTTCAAATTGTTTGCCTACTTTACTGTATAATCCTGGAGCCTTTACTTTGATCAGAGGGAGTTGGCTATGTTTCAGCTTTGTCCATTTCCTTTCCTTCCCCCCCCCACAACTGTTTACACTGTTCCTTGGTTAGAAAAGGGGGAAGAGGGGCGCCTGGGTGGCTCAGTCGTTAAGCATCTGCCTTTGGCTCAGGTCATGATCCCAGGGTCCTGGGATCCAGCCCCGCATCGGGCTCCCTGCTCCGC